CTACCTGATTTGCTGTTTAAATGCATACCCAACAATCTGGCGAGGGTGTTAAAGGAAGGAGGAGGTGTGAGAGAACAGGAACATCAGGAGTGACCAAATGGGCGCATCACCTCTTATCACACATTTCAGCTCAGACTGCACGACCGACTACATTTTCACATCAAGGTATCGTTATTTTTTTGCGGTTAAAGAGGAGATTTCTTTAAGCAAAAATGTATCACAGCCCACTGTTGCACAGCTTCAATCGAATCTAAGTGAAACTGTTTGGGGGTTTTGTGTCATTTGCATTGTGTAAAACTTTGATCACAGGCGAACGTGTCAGACTTGAAGGCAGTGTCAACTTGATTTGCCTGTTACAAAATGCGCAACTTTAATGTTAAGTTTGTGGGAGTCAAGGAAATGTCCCTCCTGGGTTTGAATAGACTATAAAGAACAAGTATCAAGGCGGTATGACGCATGAGGAGTAACCTATTTTCCACACTGAAATTGACATGAAAATTGCTTCCAGGGTTAATAAACTTCTGGATGGAGCAGACTAGTATTGGAGCGAGGGCAATTAAGGTGACTACAGACAATTAGAATCCAAATATGGATGCGATACTACAGCATGTATATTTTGAATAATACAATACAAACATTCAATAAATATTAAACCCTCACAATGTCAGCTGTATGAAACCTTGCAAATGAATAACTGTTACATAGATAATTTGTCCTGCTTTACTGATTTTATTTTCTGATATGTTTATACGTATCTGTGTCTTTCTAGTGCTCACCGGTTCCTGCAATATCTTTCATTAAAATGTGTGCACCTGGATTTATTAAATTCGACTAAACAGATCTGAATTAAAATTGTACCCACTGATGTTGTTGCTTATCACTGTTTTTTCATTGGAGACGGCAGATAAAAGACAGTTTTTAATATACAGGGCTGCAAACATTCCCCCATGACCCATACACAAGTAGTAAAGTCTATTCTTCTCACCCACCTCGGAGGTTTGTGAAATTCAATAGCTTAAAGCAGATGCTTGTTATTGTCTGCATGTGTGTGTGTGTGTGTGTGTGTGTGTGTGTGTGTGTGTGTGTAAGAGAGATGCTCAGCACTGAATACCTGTGCATACTAATTGCATTTTACTTGTAGCAGGAATGACACCTCTGAGGTGGAGACAACAGGCAGGGGGAAAAACAAACACAGGAGGTGCTAATGAAAGAAAGGAGGGGAGAAGAGACTAGGTGTTAATGTAACTTGTCATCTCTTCCGTGTCTTCACTCAAGGTGCAACTGGTAAATATAGTCTCAGAATGTGACGTGGCACACTGAGAAAAAGAAAAAAAAGGGGGGGGGCATACACTTCTTAGGAGCACCTTTGTAGGTGGGGTGTGAAAGTGGACGTCATGGGGGGATATGACTCTGAAGTAATAGCACCGAAAGAAAATGTTGACAATAACCAGAGATGCAAACTCGAAATGATCACCATCTACATAAAAACTGGTTTTGTGGAAAAACCATATAGAATAAAAACATTGTTCAAAGGTCTATATAACTACATAAACTACTATCCTCATCAAAATGCAGAGTGAATGCATAAGAAGAGTACCACTTATTATTACTTCAAATCAGCCACGGCCAATGTGTCTCCCCTGACTTCAGCCACACATTGCTGTATTTCTTCCATTTAAAACACTCAGATTTCTCCATCAACACTGGTGGGTTTCCAATGAAAAGGTCAGTACTCATTGGGCAATGTAGCATAAACAAACGAGATGTACTTTAAACTCCCCACATTGACATACTGGTCTATAATTGGCCAGTAATTGTAGAACAGTAAAAGTTTGTCAATGTCAACCTCAACAACATATTTCAATGAGTTACAGCTCAGTACAAATGTGCTACATGAATAGTTAGGCCTGTCGTCTCCAGGTTGATGGGTTGGTTGATATGCTCTCATCTGATCAAATTCTAATTGGTCAGACAATCACCAATGTTATTTTCATGAGGAGAAAAGTGCTACAATAAAAGCCTTTCAGGATTAGTCTGTTACTTTTTGGCAGCGAGAGGAACAGACTACCTGTGAAAAACAGGTGTGTTCAACATAGCCAGCATTTGAAAAACTTGGAACTTCATGCAGACTGCTCGGTCTAACATTCAAGCTACATTGACTAAATGAGCTAGTTCAAAACTAATAGTCATTATGCTACAAAAGTTAGTGAGTGTGACTGCAGTTTGTTAAAACAGTTGGCCAATAAGTAAAAGGGACAATTTGCAGCTGTTTGCATATCACAGCTCCACAGCCAACACAGCATATCCTCTAACAATCGAATACTAACTCCTCTACCATTTTGTCGTGCCACAAACTTTCATGTTTCACACTTGAAGCCTTGAGTGTAAATATATCAGAATCAGCTTATCTGATGTTTGTTCTAATAATCATTTTGCTGCGGCAGGCGGATCTGGTGACAGCTTCCACGGCTTCAGCGTCTGCCAAAAGCGGCAACTGCACCCAGACCTAGCTGGATATGAAGCCTTCTTTTTCATCACAACAAAAAAAAAATCATGTTATAAACTCTCAAATTAAATAATGAGATGAAAATGCTGTAACATCCTGCAAATAGTAACCTTTTATATTTATTTAGAGTTCATTTAGGCTAACAGGGCTAGCAGGTAGAGTGCAGCCAGTGCACTGTGGATGATTTAAATAATCTAGAGATTAAGTGCAGATTTCTCATCTATTGATTGGTCGAAGAGCAGGTACGCTTTCTATCGACAAAGATTTTCTTTGGTTGAGTACAGCCCTGTCAGTCATGATGGATTAGATGGAAGAAATTAACACCATCAGGTATTACAGAAGTCAGCTAAAAAAATATATATATATATCACAGTACAAAATACATTTTCTACCTGCGAATGTAGTATTGATTGAACTGTGAATGAATCCTGCGAGCGGTTATCACCCCACAACTTATACACACTTTCCTCTGATGTACATTGGCAGACAGAGCCAGTTTAACGCACAGGTTGCACATGCAACAGCAGATACTGAAACAGATATATAAATACACAAACGAATTGTCCCAGCGGTGGCAGTTGGTGCTGAGGCAGGGGTAAACTGCTAAACTGAGTCTTTGTGACAGGCAGCCTGAGGCAGTACGGGGAGCAGCTCAGCTCTTCGACAGGTATTGCCTTCACACCTCCCTCACCCTCTCCTCACCCCACCAGCAACACACAGCCTGCATGCTGCGGAGCCAGGAGTGCATGTAGAGAAACAGGCTGGGGGGTGTTTGCTATATATATGCTTGAGTATTGTGATGGTGACTGTATGTCTGCGTCTAAGTCTGTCTTTTCCTCAGAGAAATACTTCAGGCGGTTCCCAAACTACTTAAAGTGGAACGATTTAAGGTGGAATACGGAAAGAGAGTGGGGGGGTGGGGAAACTTGTTCCTTGAGCCTCCAGCTGTGTTGTTGCTGGTGGATACAAGGTCGATGGAAAATGCAAAGAAGAGGGGGAAGCCCACCTGCTAAGCACAGAGATTTGTTACTGTAGGGGCTTTTAAATCAGATTCATGAGTTGTCTGATTCTCCTCAAAGGGTGAAGCAATACAGCAAAAACAGAAACGTCTTTCTTCATAATCTAAGGATTGAATTTTGCCAGGTTTCAGCGCCGTTTCTTGTCTTTTAAGTATGCATTACATTTTAGGCAATGGAGGAATCACACTGGAGAATAACAAATGTGCTAAAAGAGTTGCGCGGTAATAAGTGAGAGTCAGAGGTGAGACCAAAAATAAAGAAAAGGTGAGAAAGAGTTAGAGATGGGAATAGGGAGGCAAACAGGTGGTCACATAAACACTCAAAGTCATATGCTCGCTGCACTTTTCACACACAGAATACAACTTCAGTAGCTCCTCACCTCTGCACACACAAAAAAAAACACAAATCCAGACACACTGACAGCCTGTATTGACTTGTAATGACAGAAAAAGTAGAAAACAAGGCTTTGAGGGGAGAGTGTTCAGTTTCTCATTGTAATGCAACATTATTAAAGGTTTGGAGCCCATATCAGTGTAAGCTAAGCCGGCGGCTTCATTCAGTATTCATTACAGCTGGCAAGCACACAACGAAAAGACACTGCAGGACAAATCAATTGGAGAGGAAATAGAGAGAGAGAGACAGGGTAGTAGGAAATCCACAATGTGTAATTTTAGCAAACCGAAGCAAGCGAAAACCGCCAGGGAGAGAATTTTTAATTAATGATCAGCAATAGATCATTGCTCATATGTCACCAACGAAAGAAAAAGAAACACTCCATACGGGGTTAACATACACACTTACACATGCAGCCCTTGAGTGACACTGTCAGTTCTTCAGTCTTATGTATACATTTTTGTATTTTATGCTTTAGTGATCATCAAATTTGCAGTGACAAACAAGGGTCCAGGAATTGTGGTCCTGAAACTGCAGCCTCCTCTGCTGCAAATATAATATTGAAGCAAATTCAGAACTGCTTTTAACTTGCATTCTTTGTAATAGCCAGCAGGGGGCAATACCTCTGGATGCAAAAAAAAAAAAAAAAAAAAGGAAAAAAGTTTTGGAAAAAACGACCCTACTTCTCCGTTAATTTGTTTCGACAGTAAAAAAAAAATTCTAATAAGTTTATGTTTTATTTGCTTGCTTCAAGACTGAAAGCAGCAAGATGTCCATTTTGTAAGTTACAGTCCCATTTCGAGTAATAAAGAGGAGCATGTTTTAAGGTGATACTACCTTGTGACTGGCAGGTTCCTACTGTATTGCCACACGTACCGTCCTCACTGCTCAGTCAGAGCCACCCCTCGCTCACTCGGTGACAATCAAATTTCACATCTGACATGTACGTCCACATTTTATACAATCTGTGCTCTCCATACTTACTCTTAAGCCCAATTCAAAGTTAAACAGCAAACTTAGTTGCACATAAAGTTGCAAAATCAGTGTGCGTTCCTGATACAGACCGTAAAAGCATCACTCACCAGTATCTTGGCCCTCTCTTGCTCTTCATGGGCCTTTCCCCTCTCCGCGATGAGGGCAGGGGCCAGCTCATCCAGGCCTGTGGCTGATGCAGCATCTCTCTCCCTCTGGGCCAGTCTGGACAACTCCTCCTGCACCAGAGCCTGTTGACGCTCAAAGCTAAAAAGTAGGGGAAGATAAGCACTGTTAACCTTTGACGCTTTATTTATCCAGTGAAAGTCTGTCCAACATGCAACTTCTTGTTCACACAGAGAGATATCCACCAAGGTCAGACAGATATCGGTTTCTGTAAATCAGTGCTAACCTACATTTTGTGGATGAACCCTTAAGAAAATATATATACAGTCTCTGATGAATTGTTTGCTTCTGCTCTTTGATAGTGGAAAGTAGAATAGAACAGTGAGTTACTTATGAAAGAATAATCTTGTCCAATATAACTGAATGTTGAATATGATTACTTTTACTGGTTAAATACTTGTCTTTAAAGCTATCACTCCTTGTTCTAGCTGCTTTAATGCTGCCAACACCAGATTACCTACCAGAAAACAGTTTGTGAACTCAGTGTGGACCCCAGCAACCAATGTTTGTCATTGTGCTCCTGTTTTGTTTTTCTAAAAAAAACTTTTTGACTGAAAATGGGTTTGAAACTTGAAAGTCTATTACAGCAATTGGAAGATCTTTCATTATTGAATTGCTTTATGAAATCAAATTACACATACAATGCAATCAATAATCTAATTCAGGAGTCTCAAACTCACGGCCCGTGGGTCAATGATATTTTGTGGCCCCCGACTTGACATCAAAGTTTAACGCTAGTGCGGCCTGCGCATTTTTCTCACACGTACCTACACGAGTTGTTGTCATTTTAGATTTTTTTAATCACTTGTGGGCTACCATAGCTCAGGCTCGTGACAGCAACACGAATTACCAACGTTAGTCACTTGACACGTGATTTGGGAGTGTCTCCGAGTGGAGAGAAAACATATCCTATCACCCAGTGCAAATGCGTTTGTTTTTTTTTTCCTTATATGTGTGAAAAGCTCTTCTCCACCATGAACTTTAATAAGTCAAAGTACAGGTCCAAACTTACTGAGGAGCATCTTCAAGCCATACTGAAGGTCTCAATTGTTTCCTCCCTCAAGCCAAATGTGGCTCAGCTGTGAAAGAGAAAGTGCTGCCAAGTCTCTGGCAGCAAGGAGTAGGTAAGAGAAGCCTATGGTCTGAAGAACCTTTCATGTTCAGAATTGTTATTAATAAAGATTGAGAAGACTGGATCAGTTGTACTTTCTTGGAATACTTGAAATCTTTTTTTGTGGAACACTTGATGTGGCTCAGCCTCATCCAGACTGTTATCTCCAGCAGCCCACAGGTAAGTTGAGTTTGAGACCCCTGATCTAATTCAGTCCTTTCCAGTAACACTTTGAAATATGGCCTGCTACATTATCAGAAACTTCATTACCACATGATCTCAAAAAAAATGTGTAAGTTTATCAGCTGCAAAGACATTATTCTTTGCAGTGCAATAATATTGGGTTGTCTAGTATACAAGGTGTGTCAGCAAAGTTCCAGGACTAGTGTCACAAACGCGATATATCAAACCCAAACTACAAACTACGAGTTTTCCCCTTCAGACGATTAGCCAGAACATCTACAAAGAGATCCTGCAGCGTTTGTTTCATTCAGTGCGCGAGAAGAGGCGAGAGTTGTGGCAGGAGGAGTCGTGGCTGCTTCACCATGACAACGTGCCTGCTCACAATACCCTGAGCATCTGACAGTTCCTGGCTGAGAAGAACATCGCCGTGCTGGAGCAACCTCCCTACTCACCCCACCTGACTACATGTGATTTTTTTTCCCCAAGCTCAAGGGGGTCATCAAGGGGACCCGTTTTGAAGACGTAGATGACATCAAGATGGCTGTGACGACAGAGCTGCAGAGGATCCCGGAAGAATCCTTCCAGGAGTGCATGGCGGTGTGGCAGAGAAGGCTGGTAAAGTGTGTTAGACTCCAGAGGGATTACTTCGAAGGGGAAAACTTGTAGTTTGTAGTTTGGATTTGAAATATATATTTTGTGACACCAGTCCTGAAACTTTTCTGACACACCTCGTACTTCTACTACACTACCTGACACAGCTTGTATACTTGGCTTCCTTTTTTAACTTGTAAACTACATAGACCTATAATTTAAAACTGATTGTACTGCAAACAATTAGCACTAATCACAGTGATTAAGATATAATAATATACAATGACAGCCCGACACTGACAGCGAGTGAGAGCTGTTCGACTTGCCAACATGTAAATCCATAGTGGTTCAGGACAGTATACAAGCATTCCAACAGCATAGCAGCATGCCTGCTGCACAGAGAGAGTAAATCAGCACAAGCAGTGCTGACAGGTGGCTCGGCATGTGGATGTTCTCCGTTAACATTACACATTAGCAATGAATGTATGCTATTTTATGTGTCTGCCATTTCTACTAACCATAAGTTGGAGGTGACAACACAGAAGGCTCAACCTAAATCTTTGAGAATTTAAGTTACTGTAGATAAAATCCTCTGCTCAATCTGCCATGTTATAAAAATATTCACATCTTCATATTCAGGGACATGTTAGATTCCAAGTTAGTCAAGACCAGTGCACACTAATAAAACATAAAATAAAATAAAAAATTCAAGTGAAGTTATAGCAGTTCCCTCATCAAATATGGCAGAATTACAACTCAAGTTAAATTAAGATTTTACATACAAGGGTACTTTAAAAAGTTCTCGGCCTCACCTGGAAACAAGTCCTATTCTGGGGCATAACTGTACACTATAAAGCCTCATACGACTGTCCACAAAAACTCAAATGTCTGAAGCAATCAAAGAAAAAAAGAAAAGAAAACTTGCTGGTGTGTTGTTGCATCAGGACAATGCACCTGTCCGCACAGCACAAGTAGCAGAAGTAGCCAAATGAGGCTTTCAACTGTTGCAGGTGGCACCTGACTAAACCAACCTGCACCATTTGACTTCTATCTGTTTCCTAAACTGAAACCCTAGTTGTGTGGTTGCCATTTTCAGAGTGATGATGAAGTAATACATGCTGCTGAGGAATATCTGGAGGCTCAAGATGTGACCTTCTTCCGTGAAGGGACAGCAGAGCTTGAACACTAGTGGACGAAGTATGTCTAAGTTAAAGTAGACTGTATAGAAAAATAATACAACCTCTCTCCCTTATGCCAAGAACTTTTTGAAGTGTCCTTGCAGACTGTAAACATGCATGGATAAACACAAAGGGACAGTGACCTTGACAGTATGATCACCTACTTTTTGCGCATTTCTTCCTGTATTTCTGTACTGGAGGGTCTGGTTGGTTTTGGACCTGAACATCAGTGAGATAAATATCAACAGTATTAGCGATTACAAAATAGATCTGTTTGCAGAACGGTTAAGGTCTGACCCAGTGAGTTCTCTGTGGGCATCTAGCTTACTTACATTTATCCAGCTCAACTGAACTGAATCTTACACAACTATCTATTGTAAGTTGACCAAAACAGGGCCCACGTTAAAATCATTGTCTCTAATGTTAAACAAATGATTAAGCAATAGCAACATGTCATTTTAATTGCGAGCACAGGTATAAACAAACATTTGAGCAAATAACATACATTTGAGCAACACAGTGAGGCAGTTCCCAACAGACTCTCTGAGGCCATAAATGAAAATTAAATATTCTTATAAATATGTGCATATAAATGGCAGTTTAAACTCGATGTCTTTTGTCCTCTATAATGAACAATCTGAAAATGTCAGGCAGAGGCAGAACTGATCTTTGTTGTGACACTGTTCTGTATATTCACTGCCTGAGGACACATTTGCTGACATGCTGGGTCAACCAGTGGGAAGTCTGCGAGAAAGGAAAAGTCTTTGACCGGGACATACTTGGTGGTGATTTACGACTGTCCGACGGGGTCTTGGTGCTGTCAGACTTCTGAGAATCCCTCATTCGTCGGAGCACATCCTCTGAGAGCTGAAGGAGAACGTGGGAACAAACACATCAGCATTTTGAAAGCTGGACAGATGTGTGCCTTGGTAAGCAGCGTGTGACAGTGGTGAAGGAGTCCATCACACAGTCTACTGAAGTGTCCTTGAACAGGTCACTTACCTACTTGCAGATCATGTGCCGCTCTGCAGCTGTGCCTGAGCTCTCTGACCAACATTAATGGTGTGTTAAAACAGTGCTAGTTTATTTATCTGCTGTCAGACCTGCAGGTTGTGTTTTTGAACTGTGTTTGGAAGAGTTTCTACTCATGAAGTATAAAGTGTTAATACTGACACATAGCATACTGGCTGTGGTAAGTCCCCAAGCATGTAACTTACAAACTGTGTAAACACCCAGTTTGCTAGCGTTGATTAGCATTTCTTGACTGGCATTACAAGAGAAGCCTACAAACTTAAGACAGCTGGTAACGGGGGTCTGACACGGGTTCATCTGAGGATATGGGACCTGTTCACACACTTTATAAGGACCTGTCAGGCTTCTGGACTGAACCCACCACAGAATTAAATTACTTATTAGCATCGCTCGCTAAACCTACTCACATAATTCAAACTCCGGCTCTCAATTACACGCAGGACGATATATTTTATACCTTCACTCCTTCAATTACGGTGACCTTCTCGTCTTCGTCCAGTCCGAATGACACTTTCCTCGTCGTGCTCCCATTCCCTCCCATTTTTGACGAGCTGTCGGTTTCCTCACGATTAGAGCGACTAATAACAGCCCTGTCCACTGTTGTGACAGGGGCACATAAATAAGAAAGCGGCTGGAGTCGCCGCCACAGCGACTGCTGGTCAAAATACTCCAATAAAGGTCATTCTGACACCGCAGTATCCTCTCAGCTCATTGGTTGGATGAAATAATTCGGCTCCAATGACTCGTCTTCGCTTATCAGGAGTGGGATGAAGGGTTGATGGGAAATGTAGTTAACCTTTTGTCCGACGACTCGTAAGTGTGACTTGTGAAGCTTTTCATGACAAACACATCTTAAGGACATAATCCTGGATATTTAGGATAAATAAGGGTGTCATTAACATTGTCATGACAAATTAAAGGAAAAACTTACATAAATTAGTGAAAAAAGGTGCACTGCATTACACAATTAAGCAATTCACACTAAGTCATGCTATGTTGCTTGTAAAAATAAAAAAAATAAAAAATGCTGAGTAGGCCTACTTGACTCTGATTTTGTATCATAATGATAAGAGGAAAAGATCTAAGTGACTTTAAAAGCAAGTTTGTTGTTGGGGTACAGATGGCAGGAGCTTCAGGAACAAAGTCTTCTCAAAGTGGTTAGTGTCTCAGCAGGAACGACAACTAAAGGGACGGCTGCATTTAGATTTCTGGACTCCAGTAAGTAGGCCTGGAAATGTGGTCAACTGGGCACATTTGATGGGATGACAATGCCCACATCCATGAAGCACAAGGGGTCGCTAAATATTTGGATGAGTGTGAAAATGACATGGGTTTGCAGTCATACGTTCTCAGCTTTGCTAAACACCTATGGAACGTGGATCAGCCCATAAAGCTGTCATGATAATCCCTTACAGCATGTAGTTGTACTTATACTTTCTGCATCTGCAATGTTGTCCTGTAGACCCCACCATGGTATGTAGTCAATTTTCCTAGTCCATGAGAGTCCACGGAGACCACCCAGTGTACGTCCACATGCCGCCCAAAACTTCTGTAGACTATGTGTTCAGCAACTACAGGGAAAGTAATGTGCATGTAGAGAAGAGGTAGATACCATCTCTCAGCACATGTATGGAACAGAGGCCTCCCAGTGGTCTCCATGTGAACTAAACCACAGAACAACTACACGTCTCCCTGATGTCCACAGGTGTAATTGAGGTTTAACACTGGCCACAGACAGTGCTCGCCATCAGTAGACTTACAGAAACTTTCAAGGGTCACTGCCAAAGTTCACTGAAGCTCTTCTCGTGGCTCGGTGGTTAGCACTGTTGCATCGCAGCTAGAAGGTTGCGTCCCGGTGAGGACACCTGGGATCTTTGTGTGGAGTTTGCATGTTCTCCCTGTGCAGCGTGGGTTCTCTCCAGGCTCTCTGGCTTCCTCCCACAGTCCAAAAACATGTTGAGGTTAATTGGTGATTCTAAATTGTCTGTAGATGCAAATGTGAGTGTGCTTAGTTGTCTGTCTGTGTAGTCTTGTGATAGACTGGTGACCTGTCCAGGGTGTCCCCTGCCTTCGTCCTATGTGGACTATAATAGACTCCAGCCCCCCCGTGACCCTAGTGAGGATTAAGCGTTGTATAGATAATGGATGGATGGATGGTGGCCAAACATCTAATGAAGACACTTTTTGTTGGTTTTTCCTTCGCCACTCATCTTTATATAGACAAGTATTAACTTTGAAAGAACTATATTACTTGGCAATAAACAAATAAAAACAAGTAAAAGAGTCCACTGTTTATTCTGTAGTTCATGGAATGCTCAACACATTGCATTAATATGAGCTGAATACTGTACAATCAATGCACTTAAATAAAAAGGCAATTCAACCATCATTTGCAAAATAACTTCCCCATCAAAGGTGAACTTCTGAATTCCACAGCGATACACTTAGTGAATTCATGTCATGAGACAACAAGATGATTTACCAGCCTAACTCCAGAGTAACACAACAACATTCACCAGCACCCAAATTTGAATATAAAACATCTTAAAGTGGGGGCAAATTCTATAAATTCTTGGAAACACACAACTTCTTCACTGTTCTGTTGCTTTGTAAATATGAAACAAATAATTGTAACCCTAGATCTTCTGCATACAGGTCACTACCTCCTATGAATACTGCTAGCTTAAATACAGTGATCCATTCATTTAATTTTCGGAGGAACTAATACATTATATATTCTTGGTAGATAGAAACAGATGTGATATGATCAGGTTGAAATAGACTTATGTTGTAGTAATATCAAGACGAATAACAAGTACATAAGATAAACCAAGAAGTAAAAAAAAAAAAAAAAAGATCTAATTTACCACTTTTAAAAACATTTGAATACAGGAAAAAAAAAAATCTGCAAAACTGAATGAAATATGCCGTAATGAAATTTAAGAATGTTCGAACTGGAATGCACAAAAAAGATTTTACAAAGTTGTCATTCAGATCACATAAAATAATTTCCTTTAATCACTATGGAGTTAGCAAATGTGCTTTCAGTGGCAGGAACAATTCACCTGGTGTGAGAAATGAAAACTAAAGCAGAAAATAAATTAAAAGGAAAAGAGAAAGAGAGCTTATGGGTGAGAGGCTGTTTCAATTTTTAAAGAATTGCTTGTATCTTAGCTAACCCTAGCAGACACTCTTAAAGATGGTTTCTGACCTTGAATAATAATGCAATGCCTGTATTTACGGATTTCCTTATTATATTGCAGTGACACACATCACGTTAACACTGTTCACTCGTTAACAGCAGGGACAGCACCTATTTCAGAGGACAAAGTACATATATCAAAATTAAGTCCTTGCCGTGCTCAGAGAAGCACAGTCACCAGTACAAACTGATCAGCCAGTTCAGTCACAAATCTAAAACAAGGCAGCTAAACACAGAGCTAGTTGAGTTGCCGTCAATGTAAGCCTTTAGTAGGAATGTACAGATGCAGAGTTGCCATCAAAACAATGTTAAATTGATTTTGCAGACTTATGTACTTAAAATGGGGTTAAAACATCATCAATCAGGATTGAGCAGTTGATTTTTAATGCTGGAATGACAGAAAATGTGCTGGGACGAGTCAGTAAGCTCCCATTCCCAAGAGCCTGTGGAACAGAATCAATATCAAGTCTGTTGGGGCCACAATAAGGGGCAGTACTCCTAATGTGGAGCTACAGCAGCAGTGCACTCTGGCAGCAGTGTTACAAAAGCAGATGCTAAACACACAGTCCTCCAGAAATAGGCTAGCAAAGGTCTTCCTCAAGCGTTCACTTGTTAACTTATTTTGGCCTCAAAGCAAGACCAAGAATACCATTCCTTGGTGTCCAGCTGCTTTGTTCTGCTTTTCTTTGGCCAACTTCTCTGACCGCCATCCTGCCTAAAACACTGCACATGCACAACAATGTAAGTCCAGCTGTACAACCATCTATCCTCCTCCATTCTCCTCTTCACCCTTTCACACGTTGATAGGTCTCCAGCGGTCAGCTTCAATGCTGTTAATGCTGTTAATGCTGCTGGACCCATAGGGTCCGGAGGCAACGTCATCCAGATGCGCTCCAACCATACGGGAGCTGCTGGGGCCAGAGCTGTCAATCTGGGTGGAGGAGTAGAACAGGCCCTGGTCAGTCAGCTCCTTACGGTTCAGGGTTCCAGCGACTGTTGGGGGAAGGTGGACGTCACTTTCATCCGGCTCATCCACCTGTGACTTGTAGGAGAACAGGATCTTGGGCTCTGAGCTGCGAAAGAAAATAAAAAGATGGGAATATAAAGGAAGAAACAAGGTCAGGCGTTAAAATTGTAATGTAATCCGACTTTCACATCAGCAGAAAACCAGTAAAGGCTGACAGTTATTTATTAGGTACACAACATTTTTTACCTTTCTTGATTTCAGTGCTTTTTAAGACTTGTCATAACCTAGACATATTATTATTCTGTATATTTTGTAAGCTTACATACCCAAAGAAGCCTTTGAGGAATGTGACATAAATGAGCGGAGCAAAGGCGGAGAAATACAGGAAGGTGGTGACATCCACACAGCTGGTTCAGAGAGGGGAAAGAGTAAACAGTCTTAGTAAAAGCTTCAGGGCATAAGAAGATTATCAGCTGCATAAAAAGCACAACCAGCAGATTTCTGCTTCTTGGTTGTGCTACAATGATCATATCTGCTGAACTTTACAGGACCCACAAAAAAAGTAAAATACTAGAAAGTTTAAAAACGGCCACCAAGCTCCATACCCAGGGCATTATTTTAAAAAGCTTGAGGAGCATTATAGCCTCAGTTGCTTTGAATCCAAAAATCTTGTTCTAGATTTATTTTTCTACTCACAACACCGTAACAGTAGGTCTCACAAAAACAACCTTCTTTTTTAATATCCATATCTCTTTAAATATATCAAAAATATGCTGCTAAAAATAGATTAATACTGACCAGAGTCCCTCTATGATTCCTGCACACAGCAGAGCACTGCCCAGGCCCTGGACGAGGTTCAGTAAAGACAGGATGGCAGCATACACATAGAAACTCCTCTTAGCTGTACACAGAAAGCAAAACAAAGATTAACAGACAAGTGAGAGCAAATGCTTTCAACTGGTGAGTTAGGGAGTGGTTAATGGCACATTACGGAATACAATATGGTTGGTATAAAGCTTCCATTGAATTTCCCTTCTGGGATAAATAAAGTATTTTTCATTCTTTCATTTTCATTCTTTCATCCAAGCATAAAAATTACACGAGTAATAGTAATTTAAATATTTTCGATATTTTGCATATTTTTGCAGTGAAAATAAACACAACAGCAGCCAACATGCATTTAAAATGAGCCTTTCTTCAAATGTTAATGCACAATTATTTTCATTATATTGAAAACATTTAGGAACCTGTCTACTTGGCCTCACTAATTAAGTAATTAATGAACTCATGGGGCATCAGAATTATCATTATAAGTAAGTATAACAACAAAGGATTATCGCTATCTTGCACTGAAAAGGTAGGTAGCGATTCCTGAAGCTTAGGACAGTCCAACATAGATCATAAGATCCCACTTTATTAGGGTGCTTGAACTTTTGCACATGCCACAGTAACGGTTTCACTTGTTTTTTCTTTTCCAGTTCTGAAGTGTTTGAAACTGTAAACTAAACAGTACATTAACATTTGAGCATTTTTCACTGCTACTTGCAAGGTGTGCATTTCCTTCAAAAATCAACAAAATATGTAATTTAACTAGGGGGTGACACAACATTTGTGGCAGTATCTTTCAACTTGTTAAATCTAATTCTGTTCTTTGTTGCAGTGAGATCTGTGACTTACATGGCAGAGATATCCTCTCCCTCACTGGAGTTTTAGGCAAGATCACAATCAAGGAGTACACCTATTAAAAAGGATTACATCGTGAGTAAAATATTAGGATTCATTGTCAATATGCTCAATTCTGACTCTTAGCTTTTTGCTCATGTTGCTGCACAGCTACATGTTACTGACCAGGAAGAAAAAGCAGGAGCTGGCCAACCAGAAGTGTCGTCCTCCATGACCATAGATATTGAAGTCCTCAGCAGACAGGTGACTGTCCGGATATAGTATCTCTAGCGTTCCCTAAGGAAATGTATTATTTATTTCAACTGCATGTAGAATGACATCTTGCCCAAATTTTCCTGGCATGTGGTGACATCATGGAACATGTTTTTAATCATATAAGTACTTTTAACAATATTTAGCATCATCTGTCATTACCTGTGTGATGGAGTATCCCAGAGCCAACACAGCAGTGATAGCCAACACACGCTTTATACTGGACTTGCTCTCCAGATGGCCTAATGAAGGAATAAAGAAGATACTTAACAGAAAAACAGACCTCAGCTGTATTCATAATTACATTCAGGGCTGAGAAAGACATGGAACTTAACATTTGCTACAGATCTGTCATGTGACAGATGATATCATGCTGATTCATAGGTGCAGTAAATGACATCTGAAACCAAAAGTGTAAACTAACCAAAAGCCAGTCCCAAGATCACGACACTGAGCTCAATAGCCAGCAAGAAGAACCGGGTGATTTCCCACAGCACCTAAAGAGACGACAAACATTATGAGAAGGCACTGTGGCAAAGCAGACCAGATGTGTTGTAACACATGTTGACACAGGGCATATGTGCAACTTCACAGGTCAGGCCACACTCCAGAGAATTACATAATCTTTTTTTTTTCTTTTTTTCCTGCAACAGTAAAGCCATGACAATGTGCTATGGGAACAGTGGGTTCATCACCGTGAACTCCATAGGGATCTGTCTGGTATGTGTGGAATGTCAGCCATGCTTTTCCTTTTAGACATGAAAGCCAGAACTCTTGCCGCAGCCAAGATCAGCCCCTCCGGTAACTTAATAAAAAGGTATCTCTGGCAGAGCATGGTGGCTGGTAATTCAATATGAATGCAGTATATATAATTGCCCTCCAAAAATCAACCCCTCCACCTTTCTCAAAAACAAACAAACAAACAAACCTTAGAAAAAACATACATTTAAAATAATTTTCACCCCAACTGGATGTTCCTAGATAATAATAATTAAAAAAACACCTCCAAAAGGACAAAACTGCAGTTTATAGTAAACAAGTGTCTTGTGCTTCCAATAACAAAACATGAACAGTGTTTTTTCCCCTAAATACACAGAACTCCTCCAAGCATTAATAATAAAGATAATAAAGATAAATAATCTGTGAAGGTACGGAAGGTTTACGGTGCAAATGGTATTGTGGAATATAGTGTGGATAACATAGGAGTAAACAACTTAAAGATATGGCCAGCTTTTATCTTCATAAAGAATCATCCACTGTCAGTATGGCATTCTGTTCAAAGTGCAGTCACTGAGTTTTCTGTATGATTGTCAGGTATACTTCCATATAACCAAAAGCTCTGAATAAGAGATGAAAAATTATCTTCTGCTAAATATTTCTGCAGATAATAATAGAACCTTCTGTTCTGTTGTGCAGCTAAACTTGAAAACATGAGTAAAATGATCAAACCTTTAACACTTTTAACAAACTTGCTGGATCAAATTGGAAGTGACAAGAGGTGACACTACTGTGAAATCTGATAGTGAACGGGTGAAAAACCTGTTAAGTTTAAAACATTTTACTTATACCTCATGTTCGTTCTTACTTTGTCTACAATGGTGGCAGCACTGGATGCGCTGACGGTCATGGACACTATAGCCCTGGTGATTCCAACTGCTGCTACAACAAAAACCTAAAAAAACACAGAACACAACACATGAGACCAAACAAACCAGTGTATCTTCTAAATACAAGAAAATGACTCACTTGAGCTGACTTAGGCCAAAGTATGACTGATAACAACGCTACATGGTTAACACAAGGGACACACAATGTTCAGGGATTCTTTATTGCTGTGCCCGACACTGCGTAGCTGAAATATACTTTTCTTTGATTGTTATGTGACCGTAACAAGAATGATACCCAAGACAGACAGATGCAAGCAAGTTTGGAAACGAAAAACGGCAACAACCAGACATTGAGAAAAAACAGGTAATAAAACCAAGCAGTAAAAGTGAACACAAAAAGCACTAACAGAAGCATTGCTTAAACAGCTATGGACTGAAATTTGTCAATTAATAGGAGATAACACTGTATATGGGTTTTTCAGCTTGTGTCCTACCAGCAAGTAAAAGGTGACGAAGATGGGGCTGGAGGTGAGTCGAATCTTTGCCCTTGCTGATGGCAGCTTCCACATCAGGAACACAAAGAAGGCGACGTTAGGCACGAGCAGTAAAATATCCCAGAACCGCACCCTAAGACAGAGAGGTGAGTGTGAAAACAGGTAATGCAGAACTTTAAAAAACAATTATAGGCATTTCATGTGCAACATAGTGCTCATTGACCGGCACGACTGAGTTTCATTTTCACCGGTTTCTGTTTTGTATTTGTGGTACTATCACACACAGATTTGACGACAAAGTGTGTTTTAATAACTGTAAATAGTGTTTAACTATTACCTGGAGTCTCCAATGTCCTCATACAGAACTTGCAGACATTTGTGAGGCCTGGTGATGTTGGCTTCAGTATCAGGTTGCCAAGTTGGGAATGCTGAAGTGTTCTCCAGTGGTGTCGGTGAAACGGTGCCATTGTACTGAGCAAACCTAACCACAGCCGTCACTGTGGCTAGCATGGTGTCAGAACCTGAAAGGGGGAGAAAAAAAACTGTTTTGGTGAGACATAAACTGAAAATCCTTCCTAGCAACAGGTGAGGCAGATATTAGGCTATCTATTCTTAAATACTACATGCTTCCTCATTGTGGGGGAGGTTTTGTGTAGAGAAGTCCTTCAGTTTCACAAAAGAGAAGTCTATGGTTGTTAAAGATGTTGTCATAAGACAAACTCAGGTCATATGAGCACCATAACATTTTAAATTGAAGGCTATAGGGGGCATACAGGTTAACAGCTTCCTCCTCTTAGATCGACATTATGTAACGAGAGCTTGTGCTATTTCGGCCGTAAATGGTGTTGAGTGCCAAACTGCAGAACTAAATCAATCCCGTTAACATACACGTACGCCTTCTGAACTGGACAAGAGTCAAGTGGCAGTAGCTCGTCTAACTTGAGCATAGTAAACAAAACCGACATGAGGTCAGACTAAGTCAAGACTGTTCTTGCTGGAGTTGGCTGGAGTCGACAAAGGACAGCTAATCATAGCGTAGCTTATCTAAACAACACTCCTGCGTATGATGTATGACAATACTTTCAGTTAGCGTTAAGGGGAATTTTAGCTAACGCTGCTACGTGTAGCTTGCTAGCTGCCGTCGGGAAATAGGTTGTTTGTGAGTTAAATTATCCTCCCTAGGCATTCATACCAGACAAATACAGCAAAAACATACAAAAGCAGTAAATATCACTCGCTAACAAACATTAAGTACCTCTGCTTGAAAGCCGCCTGGCTGGCGTTAGCATCCAAACAAGAGTGATACTCGAGCCAGTGTACGGACGCTTCGAGTAGTAAACATTAGCATCTTACCGATTCAGAAGACTCAGTTTCAAGCGTACGACTGCTGTAAAATGTGTCAGTCAACAGTGTGACTTCGGCGCAGGCTTTACGTGTTGTCATACACGCTGTAATCGGCCAATACATTGATCACTAAAACGGGACATGGCTGTGCTGGGTACTTTCGTTAACAAATTTCCCGTGTGGTCAGCTGACACTCTCACCGAGCAGGAGGAGCAAATCTCGCGAGATTTGAGTGTTCTGATGGTTTTTTTTTTAGCATTTCTTTTTAGCATTTTTTTGTGTGTTTATTTTAGGATATAGGTAAGTAAAAATACACATCACGAAACAATTACCTTTCACAAGTGTATAATAATGAGCTCATGACCACTCCTATAATGATAATATGCTGTGAAGCAAAACCAGGCATTATGTAAGGTGTTTATTTGACAGCTGGAATGTAATAAACATTATATAAACACACATTTCCATTTGTAATGCACTTTTTGTGTTTCACACTCGAAATCAATAGGCAGTTTTTGGGAATTTTCTGCTTCTTTCACATTTCCCTCCCAAGAGTTAATTTTTATTTGAAATATATTGTTTGCATCTCTGTTGAAAACAGAGTAACTGGGGCTGGAATTAAAGAGAACTATGTTTTTTGTTGTTTGTTTGTTTTTTGTAATATAGCATAATTTTGATGCCATGAATCGTGAAAAGAGACCACAACAAAAGTTGAATTTCTTTGACTATTTGTTTTGCAAAAATTTAAAAACAAAATCAACATGTAGATGTACATCATTTTACCAATAGTGCACCAGTGTTACCAAGACTGGAAGAGTGGTTCCACATGCTATAGATAGGCTATTTGAACCGGCCTATTTACATTTTTAAAACCTCTACAAACTAGGTGTTTTTTCACACTAGTCTGCATATCAATTCTAGAAAGATATTTTACCATGCTGAATATATCTTCCCAAAAACTTTGACAATTTGCTCCATTGTATAGCTTCTAAACCATTCCACATTTATTTCGTTGATCCAACATGTTTTATTTTTTTCTCAGTCTCTCTTGTCGTCTCCTCTCTGCTCTGTGTAAACAGTGTGTAGTTCAACCATAATGCCAGAATTTCTGTCACATAACTGTTAGTTGCAATGGAGTCAGTCCTGATTTCTCAATTGCACTGAGTAGGACATTTTTTTGTTTTTTTTAAACACATGATCTGATGCAAACTTTTTATTTGTGCAGAATTTTAGCATAACATGTACAGTCAAATAATTTCTATGAAATATCACAATTTTAGGTACATTTTCTGGGATTTTTTGACACTATGTTTCAAAATGACATGTACAATCCATTAAAGAAAGTCTAAAAGAAAGAAGAAAGAAAGAAATATCTATTCATTCGTCATGTTTTAGTTTCCAGGTCTAATAAACAGCATTCTGCAATTTTTTAATGAAAACATGCCTTTGCGACCTGAAAGTGGGTTTTGGGTTCAGAGGGTCAAATTGATTATATCAGTGCATTGCCGTAAGATTAAAACAACATCAACAATAACAAAAAAACCCACTCACCACACATCATTATAAGTGCTGTATTTGTGCACTGGTGTTCAGACACACTGCAATAAGTAATTCAGCCACATATACTACGGCAACAGGAGATTGAGAATACGCAATACTATCATACAAACCAAACCTTCGTACAAATTATTGATGCTTTAACTATAATTACTCAAGTCTTTGTCAAATGCAGCACGTTATGATAAAGCAATGAACTATAATTATGAGTGAACAGTGACACGGCCTTTGGGGTGCCCTGACATCATCCTGTAGGCCAGGTGCACTGGTTCAGTCAGGTTAGCCTTAAACGTGTATATATGAGTCTTCCCACTGGTGGCGCTGATGTTGTAGAAGCTCAGCCTGTGGGTCTTGAAGCTCAGCCTGACCTCAAGCCTGCGAGACACTGTGGTCTTCTTTAGTGGCACACTGTGACTCTGCTCAAAGGCTGTGAGCAGGTTGTTGAACCACATCAGACACCAGGACCCCCGGCTGCTTTCCAGGGCCGATGGTAACCCGCTGCGCTCTAGCTTCCCGCTGTAGCATATACCGATGATCCACGGGGAGCCTTCAAGCTCCACCTCCCAGCAATGATCGCCTTCAGAGAAGCTCTGGGTGCTGAGGACCTGGAAGAAGCTCATGAACCTCTGAGGAGACGACGGGTATGTTTGTTTGACAGCACTGAAAGTCACTGTCTTCAAGTCCTCAGAGAGAATGAGGTTGGGATGGACTGTTTCTGGGTCAAACGTCACCTCCGAAGGGTTGAGGGTGCTACGAAGGGAACGCTGAATCTCTCCAAGTCTGTCCCTCAGCTCAGCATTCATGTTTTCTAGCTTGGAACAAACTCGTGCAGGGTTGACTTTGACTTCAACAAGGTCTTCCTCTTCGACTGGTTTTGCAATCAGCTCTTCAATGTGTGGCTGCAGACTTTTGAGCTCATCACTAAATACCGTCTCATCATCTTCAGTCAGCAGTGACTCAGCTTTGAACGTGGCCTGCCTCAGCTGCTTAGTCAGCTCAGAGGCCTGACTGACTCGACTGAATACACTGGCCTCACCTGGTCCTAACTCTTCTTCAATCATCTGGGTCACCTGCACACTGTAGCTCTGCGACAAATCCTGAATCTGCCCCAGCAGTTTGGATGCTTTCTCTCTCAGCTGAGCATTAGCTGTGGTCACCTCCAACTCCCATTCCTTTTCTTTCTTCAGGAAACCCTCTGCCACCTCCAACTTGAGGTTCAACTCAGTGACCTGAGATGCCAGTTTAAATTTAGGTTCATCCATTTCCAATTTGCCTTTGCAACTGCTTTTTTCTTGATCCACCGAAAATGGGTGATTTGTTGATCCAGACCCCATCTGAAAGCCATCCTGTGCCTTGCTTTCTGAACTCTCCTCTTGGCTCTTTCCAGCTGTTGCTAAGCTTTGGGGGTATTTTGCATTTGACTCCGCTGTTGGAGAGCTATCATTACCCTCGACAGCTACATGGCTGACATCAGAAGGGTCTGCAGTGGAGAGGATTTTCCCGGCGGTGGCTTTGTAGGTCTCTACGATGTTGCGCATTTTGAAGTTTTTCACAAGAGCTTTGGTTCCCTGGTACTCAGTCTGGCACTCGGGGCAGCTGTGTTGATCAAGGCCTTCTCCCATGGTCTGAAGGCAGCCAAAGCAGTAGATATGACCGCAGGGGAGAGAAACTGGCTCAGAGAATAGTTGCAAGCAGATGGGGCATGTAAGCTCCAAAGCCAGAGCTTCTGGATGATTTGTGTTAGAAAGGCTGGCTTCATTCTCACTCAGAGACATGATGGCAGGAGCTGGAAAACAGACAACTCAGGGTAAATCTTCAGAAACATGCAACACAGACTTGGATTAGTTATTTGCCACTGTTTGGAAAGAGAACTATAATGAGTTAATAAATATGAGCACATGAATTGCAGATAATAAAGAGAAATGTCGACTTGAATACTTGAAGAAAAAGTATCTATATTTCTAAAATATGCAGAATTTGGGGAATAAGAAGGATTAAAAAATAAATAAACTGAAGTCGTAAGAGCCAAATAAGATTCTGATCAGAGATAGAAATACAGAAATTTAAAAAAAAATGGCATAGGTGGCAAATTATGTTTTGTGTGAATTTTTACATTTTCAGCATTAGTTCTAAAAGCTGTTTTAAGATAACACAAACTGCTCTGGTGACACTGGATACTGTTTGTTATTGTTGTGGATTTAAAAGCGAAGTTAAATATATTGGATCTACAAAATATTGGACAATCAGTGTAGAAAATGATTACGGAACGTATTTACAACATTGTTGTGGGTGGTAGGTGTGACGTTGCGTAAAATCTAAATGTGCGTATTGTGAAACTTGCTGTCAAAAAAAAAAAAAAAAACAGTCCAGGAAGTAAGAGCATGACTAAGCGCAACACAAGGCACCCGTACAAACATGCAGATGTATGTAAAACTAATACAATTACCTGCCAACCTGGATACATGGTTACCTGTAGGTCATAACATGTGATGGCTAATGTAAATAGGAAACTGTAATTACAGGAGACGCCGTTTATTGGCCATAAAAAATGAAAAACAAGAGTCGCTTCTGGGTCAGCTCGCAGCGACTCTCCACCTGTTGCTTAAGTTTCGATTCCGGACAAACAACAATCTCCCAACCAGGCGTATGTGGCCAAACCCAAAGCTTTGTTTCCCTGAATTTAATTAATTACAGAATTACCTTGTTAGACTGCTTCTCCCTCAGGGCATATATTCATTTCATGTAATCAAATTATTATTTTTAATACGCATGTGCGCAACATTTCTCGCAGTGTTTGCGTTTCATTCTTCACTAACGACAACACACGATGGTAATATTTTAAAAAGAAAAAGACACAATCCAAGTTTAGAGACTTACCTGCTGCTGTCGTTCTGTTTGTGTCGACTCTTCCTGTTCAGATTGGGAGTCAATAAAACGCACTGACGCACAGATGAGCTCCGACGCCTTCCATAAACACTGCCGGCTCCATCCCGTCTCAGAGGAGCCAATCCACGCGGAGCACCATCTATCAGCCTCACTTTGCTCAGGATGTAGACCAGGGGTGTCCAATCCTGGTCCTCGAGGGCCACAATCCTGCATGTTTTAGATGTTTCCCTCTTCCAACACCAAGCTTGATGATGAGCTGATCATTTGAATCAGGTGTGTTGGAAGAAGGAAACATCTAAAACATGCAGGATTGTGGCCCTGGAGGACCAGGATTGGACACCGAGAAGCACCATATCTGCCCGGCTACTTAAAACAATAAAACCACAACACTTTGAAAACGTCTGTGCAACGTTTCTATATACCATGTTTTTTTTGTACATTCAAAGAGACCAATAAAGTTAATTAAAAAAAAACAAACAAAACAATAAATGTCACAGTACAAAGTAGATGGCAAACATCCCACTTGTGGAGCTATACCTGCACAAGCCATAAAATCCCCCCCAGAAGAGCCTATAATAAATCAGCTCAAATAAAATAAATGTTAACATCATAAATTTATAAAGGAAATGCATATATTACAGATACACATTCTTTAAATGATCCAAAGTATGACAAAACAAATACAAAAAAAAAAACACACTTGATTGAGTTGGATAATAGACCCAAAAATGTTAGGATCAACATAATAATCAATATGCTAAAGCAGGGCTAGTTAAAAGAATATACTGCTAGGAATTAAAAATATACAAAAAACCCCCCACAAAAACATAACAAAACCTTCATTCATCCCTTCATAGGTTTTCATTTTAGTTAACTCCAACAGGTTGACACTGTGTATGCTGACAGTCATTGATGGAATGTCTAAACGTAAAACATCTACAAGTTTACACAAGTGACAACATATTTTGGGACATGGCTATAAAGCTAAATATTTTGCTGTAAGAATATTTGAAGAGTGTTTGCTTTGTCATATATTGGCTCATTCCCACCCACCCACACACACACACACACACTGAAACTGTTTCACCTGTATAAAGCGTGAATATTATCATATTCACGTGTACTCTGTAGAAATTTCAACCTTGTCTTTAACTGTGAAAATATGATATTCTAAATTTTAAAAATGCACAAATTATCCAAAGATAGCATCTGATCACAAACTCATGCACGAATGTATTTTTAAAAACAAACATTATTTCACACGGGAAAAAAAAGGACAAACCAAACAGACGCAGTTATGAATTAATTTATATTTCTGTACATTTGGTTTGAAAAGTAACAGCAAGAATCCTCAGCTTTATTGCATCTCCACACATCCGGATGATCAAAGGTAATAAATATAACAGTGTTAATATGGTACAAAGGCAAAAGACCTCCAAAGTCGGTCTACAAGTCTGGAATGACTGTCAGGCTGATGCACTTCCTGATTCATATAGTGTACAAAAAATTTTAAACTCAGTAGTGTCATATGTAAAGGGAAGATGTTAAACATGTTCTACAATCATTATTTGCTGAGATTCATCAGTCCTCAAGAATTAAAACAAAAATAATGCTATTACACTAAACAACCAAGTAACTTTGTGTTCAGCCTTCACTCAGAACTAAAAATCTAGCTTTTCCATCCAGAGCTCCAAAGAGTTTTCATTCACCTGAGTTAAGTGTGATTTGAAAACACTCCGGCACCAACAATTCTCAACACTGATCAGGCTAAACAAACTCTAAAACAATCCAGACCATTTTAAATACATTCTCAAACCATGATTGATTTCTTCCATTTCACACCACTCGAATCCAAAGACATTTTCTGTTGCCAGTAACACACACACTCTCTGAGATCTACAGGATAACAGATTTGTCTCGTAGCTGTTCATCACCTCGTGTTTCAGCTGGTCACATCATTGCCACAAGCTCAAGCAGTGTTTTCAACGTTTTGGCATTTTCACGCTTGCTACTTATCTAATGAAGTAAAAACAGTATTTAAAATCTTATTTTGGAATGACTATGACATGGGTACACACAGTAATTAAACATCAAAACAGTCCAAAGGCATATTTGTCCAGTTGTGCCATGTTCATTGAAGGATTTTCACACACAAATAGCAAAATATTATGTTAACAGTCTTCGCCAATATTGCATAATGATTACACGCTTATTTTTGAATTGATGCATATTATTAGATAATTTGGTTCTACTTTTGAGTGCAGCAGAAGAAGGGACAGTTGCCTTGTTATGTTCCAGTTTATTCAGTGGCTCATAAATAGGCACTACAGCGCTTGCCTTAATCTGCATGTACGGGGGTTTGGTGGATGTTTGTTTACAGCAGCACATCTAGGTCCACTTCTGGCAGAGGCTCCTTCCAATAGGAGAAGCTGCTGTAGTCGGGACAGTCAAGAGCCAAGGAAGTGCTGCCTTCAACAGAGAGCACAGGGAAGAAATGCTCCACCAACTCACCCAGGTGGCAGTACCTGGAAAACACACACACACACAGAATTGCACAAAAGTTATGAGTCATGATTCAGATAATACATGTCCGAAATAAATATTAACAGATGAAGAGCACCTGAAAATGTGCTCAGTATTCTTAAATGTTATGTTTTTGTTTGTAGTAAAGTCAAACAATCCCTGTAAACTTTGTGCAGTCTATAAATTGTTGGCAGCCCATTCATTCTCACAGGAGTACTTTTTTCAAGCCACCAGGAATACCAAAGTCAAACATATTCATACAAAAAGTTGATAAAAATGGGGAAATGTGTCTGTAACATGCTTTCCTCCCAATGTTGTGTTGCATACTTACGAGGACTTGTTGCCTTTAGTCTTCTCCTGGATGAGCTCTCCTTTCGGGTTGACAGTAAATATCTTGGTTTCAGGCACTCCAACCTGCTTATAGGCATAAGCATCCTGCAAAAGTGAACAAAATAATACAGTAACAGTGAGGTGCTTCAGTGTTGCATAACCTTTGGAGTATTTATGAACACTAAATACAAGTTAGGGTATATTACAGAATATGTCCAATCAAATGATACCAACCGGTAATACTTATAGTCGCTCTCCAGTCACTAATTAAAGCACTAAAAACTCATCTTTGTGTATCAAAGGTTGCTTTTTTGGAGTTCTTTTTCCTCCATAAAAATATTCCCTTCATGCCTTAAAAATGGCTTAAGATGCAATTCTACGCTTGTTGCTTCTGAATTCTGAAAAAGAATAATGATATGGAAAGTTTCACCCTGCAATTTTTCTGGATACGTTTCTTAGGTTTGCCATGTATGAAACCCTGGAAGTCTACATCCATGTTTCCTGAGACTGTGTTTAGTACTTCACAGTTTCATGGTAAAAATGCTCCACCATGGCACCGACTGCTTGTTTTGCTTATAATATCCCATCCAGCATAGAAAAACACCACCTGATCATGTTCATATGCTACAAATCTTGAGTTGTACATGAGGAAGTCTTTCAAAATACAGAGGTGTGACTTTTTCCTAATAGGCACGATGTCTTGTGATAATGTACAAACCCAATTAGTGCCAGGTACCACACATGCACATGGAAAACCTTGACTTAAAACACTTGTTGCCTAACACCTTTGCTGTATTAACAACCAGTCTGCAGCATTGCTTACATTAGTCCTGTTGCCGAAAGCCGCGTAGAAAGGCTGCCTCTGTGGGTTGAACAGGTCTCTGATGTCACCGAGACAGGCGATTTTAAACACCTCCGGCTTCTTCTCAATCACCTCTCTGCAGGTTGGGACAGATTATGGTCAAAGGGATTATCTGTTCAAATGTTTGTCTCCTTGCATACATGTAGGAATTCAATACAGTATGGTAGCTCAGCATTGGTGTCAGTTAGATTGGATGTGGCCACTAGGGGTCAGTGATACATTACATTTATTCTCTCTTTCTCTCTGACTCTCACACACACACAAACACACAAGATTAAAATGGAAATAAAATTCATCTTAGTCAGACAATATATGTTCAGAAGTTCAGTGGGTGTTATTTGTTACCTGTGCAGTGCTGAAAAGAGGCTGCTGGGAGCGAGCAGTACAGGGCCTTTAGGGAGGACAATGCCTTTGTCGTTGACCCATTGCAGGTAGTCTTTAGTGATAGCAGCCATGCCTATAGCCCGCGCTGAACAATACAAGAACTTGTAGCCATTTCTGCAAGGACAGGGACAACTATGTTACTTTGAGAAAAGAGACACTAAACACTTTCATCAACATGTTCAACAATGCATACAGTATGTGCTACAGTCTGCTCCTTTGGATTTGCATAACACCAGGCATATGAAAACAGTGCGAAACAGGAAAACATCTGGCGGTGCAGATTAGACAGCTGTAACTAGAATGACATCATGAGCAGGAATTACATTTTATCTGCGTTTGCTTGGTGTGGGTTGAGCAATGGGAATGAAACTTCTGAGGGAAGAAAAACAACTGGACAGGACATTTTGAAAGTCCTTTTAAAGTCATCATTTTCTATTTACCTCAAGACATTTGAAAAAAGTAATTTCACATACTGGTGTATTTTGTGATAGAGTTTGGCAATGCCTTTGTGTGTCCAGTCTTTTCCAAACTGAGGTAAAATATGACCCAGAGCATCAGACCTGCAGGAGACAGGAAGTGAATACTTATTAAAACAGAGTGAAGGTATGTGAAAATACACTTCATACAAACTAATAATAATAAAATCAAAACTATCCAGGGAGTTAGGAAGTGTCTGGTAATTGCATGCGAAACTGTTGTCTGTCTAGACACCATCGTTTTTAAGAAAACCTAGTTGTTTTTACTTGGTGATGGTGCCGTCTATGTCAGATATGATCACACGGTCGTCCCACTTCCACAGGTAGATGGCAGCCTCACAGCGACAGGTGCCCTGGTATTGTGTGGTGACACTGAACACCACCTTGTTGGCTCCTTCACGCAGGTTTAGATGCTCCTGGTTGTGGCAGAGGACAGTTGATTACATCACACAAAGTGACTGTTTATCTCCTCTAAATACATTCGATTTTATAGGGTGTATGAGCTTGTATGTGAATTCATCTCTTACAATCTGATTCGAAGTCAGACGCAGTGATTTCCGGTACATCTGGGTGATGGACTGAGTGGCATTGAGGGTTTCTGTTGACAGACTTGAAGGAATAATGGCTTTTCGGCCAAGCCCTGCTGCTTCGTCACTGTCGATGTCATCCAATGTGGCTCTGAAGAAACAACAAACATGCATTAATGTTCTGTTTTTGACTTAGTGATTTGTGCATGAAAATAAGAAAACAAATTCTACATGCTTATTGTGTCTAGACCACTGTTCATGACAGTAACACTTACCATGCTGTATATACCCACATTGTATACAAAGCACTTTTACTTCTTTTTTTTTGCACTTCTGGTTAGATGCTAAACTGCAATTTGTTGTCTTAGTACTTATACTTTTACTCTGTTTTTTTTCTGGTCATTTTCAGAGGTTTCAGGGATTAAATTCGATTATACCAGTGCATTACCCTAACATCACAAAAACCCCCAAAAACAACAACCACCACTTCTACATACATCATTATGAGCACTGCATTTGTGCACACTGGTGTTCACAAGCACTGCAATGAGTATTTCCATCACATTACATTTTTATGTAAACATATACAGTATCAAACAACTAGGATGGATTCAGTACTAAGCCAAATTCTTTCAATGTACAAATCATCAGTGTTTTAACTATGATTACTTATACACTGCATTTTGTATTCTTCGCACCTGTACTCTGTGCAAATATAATACATTTCAAGCCAATTTAATCTAATCAGTCTTTATCATTTATTGACATCAGACAACTTGAGTTTTAATATTGTAAAATGCTGACAATAAACCTTAACCTTAAGCATTAGCTGATATGTCAAAAACTACTTCTAGTTGAAAACTAGGTGATTTTTAGTTGTAGCTTGAAAGAGAATGGATATTGATTGCTGTGATGGTATTTCCTCAGCATCATATTGCACTAGTAGGTTGTCTACAGAAAGCCGTAATTTCATTTAATGTTTCATATCAGATGTCATACATATGAAACTGTAATGGCTGCATGCTGCCAAAAAGAAAGAAAGAAAAATCAGAGGACTGTATGAAATTCAAAATTTGTTTCATTTGGATGAAATTGATGGAAGCAGATCAAATCCATGACATCAGCTAATTTCAAAATGTATAGTTCTTTTCTGTTCTTGCTTGTGGCTTTATTTAATCCCTGCCAGGGAGCTAATAACAAAAGCAGGCAGTTCTGCCCAAAACTTTGGTTTCTTTAAAGGTACGTCAAAACATACATTACTAAATAATCATTTATGTGCAATATTATAACAACCACCAAGTATTTCCAGTAAACACAGTGCTCTTACATATATGTATGTTAAAATGTGATACAGCTGTGGAACAGCTGTGGACCAGCAGGACGGGCTGAAACAGGTCCAACTGAAACACAACATGTTGGGTTTGTTAACTTATGTGACGTCATTTCTTAGTGAGGTGACTTACTGTACTGTCGAAGAAACACTGGCCAATGGCTCATCCTGCTCTTCCTTTGACTGTTTTTGCTGAAAAACAAGGAGTCAACATTTCTAAAAAAAAACATCTCAAATAACGTCAAATATAGAGCTATGGTTCACCCGATACTTTAATTGCTTCCACTTCTACCATTCCTATACCTCTTAGGTCAACCATGAACTGAGCATAGAACCAACCCCATGCAGCAATGCCACACCCTTGTAAGCGACTGTTGTGAGTAAACGCTACAGGTCCAAACATGTAACATTTCCTTTCTTGCTGCTACACTGTACATAACTGTTGGCATATATTCCTCAGCGTGTACCTGGCTGTCCATGTCTCTTCGTCTCCAGGAGAACCACCAGCGTCCAGACTTTTTGGGCATCTTGTCCTTAACCAACCGCTCGATTGTACTCTGTGTAGGACACACAGAAAGACAAGTATATTATATATTTTAGTACAGTATAGTAATATTAGATTACTGTCATAACATTCATCGGATAAATAAGATCTTATGTGTCTTATGCTGTCCCTTCCTTTTAGAATATATTTACACAATATAATGACAACAATATGCTTGATTATTGTTTTCAACTAGATATTAAAGGAGCTAAATAAGCTAACATTTCTGTGGTCTACTTTACAAACAATACAATACCTTGGGTAGGTTTTTCTGGAAAGTTGTCATTGACAAAACAATTGGAGCTGCCACGGCCCAGTTGTAATAGCTGTGAAAAATTAAAACCAGCTGATGAACAACCATGGACAAAAACATGATAAAAAAATGACAAGATAAGTAACTTCAAGGGTGTGAATGGTAATTTCATTAATACAATCTGAAATAAATATTTTAAAATCCTACTTGGAGTTTATGCAGATGACAAGACTTGGATCCTCAATGATTCCTGGATTGTTGGCAAAATCCTGGTATGTCACAAGGTGCTCCATAAACTTTTCTGGGGTAAGAGCAAAAGCTACATGATGACCAATGTAGCTCAGCATGTGCTAGTACACATTGTACACGCAGACACTAAAAAACCCAGCTCACATTCTGCCACGCTTACCTTTGGTGATTTGGCTGGTGTCACCCTCTTGTCCACAAAGGGACATGCTGACATCCATGTTGTAAGAGGTGGAATCTGACAGGTACTCTGTACCACTGTCCATTGCCCCGCTGCCCACTGACTGAGGCGACTGGCTTCCTGAGAAGGAGCCCTGCTCTGCCCCTTGCTGGAACGCTCTCTCTGTCTCACTGCAAGTGCAACAGATAGCTTAAGCAGCTGACTTTCAACTTTTCTCAATAAAAGGAAAACACTTAATAGACACAACAAAATTACTGGGTTACCGTTTTAATGTAAAACAATCGCTGTGAGAACTGCAGGAACTAGTGATGCCATAGGTACTCACAAACCACACATCATTTACTGTGAAGGTTATCCACTGTGGTGAGACATTTACCTTTTGGGGAAGTAAAGTGCAGCCACTTCAGGATCCAGTTTGGTCAGATCTTCCAAGTAAATGCCTGTCGGTCCTAGATGGTGATTCCGTTTACCTGTAACATATTGAAACATGAACACTGACCTATCGTGCACTGACACAAGAATTTCTAAAGTCTAAAATGAAGCTGGAATAACTTCTACAGTTTGCAGACTCAGTTGAAGAAAAAAAAAAAAGGAAGCTTCACCTTTTTTCTTGTCCTGTTGCTCCACTTTGGAAGACACCTCAGAAGAGTTTGCTAACCCCTCCGCAGCCATCACGCTAGTCCCAACATCTTTCACTTCAGGTGCTGACCCATCAGTCACTGTGGGTACACTGTCCTCTTCCCCTCCCTCACTATAGGGATCTATTCCACTGTCCCCTTCGCTGACAGGAGCGCTACTGGTGGAACCCTGTTCACTTTGCTCAGATAAGACACCCTGTTGTTGCAGACATGAAGAAGCTGTTCTACTTGGACTTGTTTCCGGGGCTGTGCAATCTTCGCTCTCGTCGTTTGGTTTGGTCATACTTTCCACACTATTTTTATTTTCAGAGCTAACTGCATCAGTCACGGTGCTAACATGTTCAACACTTACTGCGTTTTCTTTGCTGGTAGGGGAATCAGTGCCATTGCTAGCTGAATGAGATAACAAGTCTCTATTCTCCTCCTGCTCAGTTGTGGATTCGAGTGCTGGTGTTGAGTCCATATTTATTGACGATGCACAAGACTTGAAGAGGTCACTGGGGGTAGAGTGGGCAATGTGAGACTTTTTCTCCTTGGATAAAGGGGTGGTTCGTGTGGAGAGGCTTCCTAAATCAAGGGATTGAGTCCGGGGTTGTGGTTTGACCACGGTTACACTGCCCACTCTTCCACAACTGATGACAGGCTCGTAGCCCATGTCGAAGGAGTCCTGCCTCTCAATGGTGCGAAAATGAGAACTGCCCGAATGACAGATGCACTGCAATTCCACTGGTGACTTCTCTGGTTGACACAGCTGTGAGAGGCAGAGTAAAAAGTTTGAGACAGAGCACGATCATGAAAGCTCAGATCGACAGCATTACCATAGCACAGGTACACCTTAAAAGCATCTGTGTGTGAGAGTGTATGTGTATGTTGCCTTACCGTGGGAAAACCTCCCCAGTTCCACTGTATCTGAGGCCCAGATGACTCTTGGGATTTAACCAGAAGCTCGGAGTCGCTCTTAGGAGAAGATGGTCGGCTGTAGAACACACTGCTGTGAAAGAAAAGACAAACTGATTAAAAAAAGGTCAAAAGACACTGGACAAATAAATGTAGTGAAGCATGACTCTGAAATTCCTGCATGTGAAGTTGCTTAAAAAACAAATGAATAAGTCAATTAATTTATTGTAAAGATGAACTCTTCTCACTTTTCTGAAGGTGACGGTTCTCCATCCGAGTGTGGATGAGTGTCTCTGGTCTGTGTGGATACCAGCTCCTCATTTGGCTCCTCAGACAGCGAGTAATAAACTGATTTACTTTAACACACAAACAAGAAAATCTTTTTAACTACTGGGCTAACTTCAAACTATCATTAAAGTACCAATACATATTTTTTATAGGAACATTGAACCATATGACTCCCTATATGGGGTCGCTTGTATCGACAACACTGTGGAGAATCAATATTACAGCAGTTTTCAGGTGTCTTCTGCTCATTGTTTTGTTCTGACAGGGTCTGACTTGCGAAAAGAATTCAAAGGTTGCTGACATTTGGAAATTCCACACGATCTTTACAGACATGTTTGTGGTCGGTGATAAAAACAGTGAACATTAAAGACCTTGAATACTCAGACAGATGAGAGTCCTATTTTCAAAAGCATGTTGAGGGTAATCGGTCATAAAATCTGTCTCTCACTGAGTTCCACAGTACTTAAATTTTAACTGCTTTTTAGAAATTATCATAGAGCAAGCAATTTCCAATTAAGTAATCATTCCAAAAGTTCTAACCACTGCTTACCTGACTTGCAGTGATGTGGAAAGCTCCTCTGAAGCAGGACTCTCTGAATGAGCATGATCAGTTTCTCTCTCACAGTCCCTCTCTCTTTCTCTTTCATCTGATGAAGAGCTGGCGTCGTCTCTCAGGTGGGTATCAGAGCGAATGCGTTTACGGCGGCGTTTCTTCCTGCGGGCAATGATGGCGGATCCCTCAGTGGTCTCCTCCATCTCCTCAGGGCCCTCAAGAAGAATTGGGGAGGTGCACAGGTAGGGTGGGACCTGAGACAGACAGACATAATATATAATGGTTATAAAAGTAAAAAAGCTTTGCAAAAAGTGACGATTTTTAGAGTTTAAAATAATGGCCATTATTGCTTGTCATCTTACCTCCATGTTTTCATTTTGTTCCACAAAAAAAGCTTCTCCATTGTCTCCCAGTTTCATGTGTAGGTCGACCGCTTCTCCATTTATTTCAATGTCAACCTAAAATCAGAACATATAATGTAATGGTTAAAGATTTCCCAAGAGAAGACAGACAGCTGTATGTAGCAACAACAGATAATCAAATAAGACAAAGAAAATGCTGACAATTTTCTCCTTGGACCGCAGCACTCCAAGCTTGCCAAAACGGACGTGGAAAGGGGAACACTGGAAAGATCCATCAGGCTGTCGCACCACGATGACATCGATTCCTCCCGTGAGAGTGGCGGGGTTAAGGCCACGGTACAGCTCCTTCACCGTCACAAACACCGTCTCTGCCAGCTGGCCCACAATATTCATGGTTTGGGACTGGAAACAAAGAGCAACAAGTGAGAACTAGGGAGGCCAAGTGACATGTCACAGTCAAACTGTGTCTGCTGTGGTTAAAGTCATTTTTGGAATCAGCAGTTTAATCATTAATTCCTTTTTCACAGTTTCAGCAGTACTTAATGAATTTACGAATTACGTCTTCAGCCAATTAACCAAACAAAAAAAGATAACATTCAAGAAAGTTCACACTACATTTGGCATATATGCATGTGCTTGAGTCCGCGCTAGCTGAAGAAAAGTTTCAAAAACCACAAGAACCAAGTAACTTTGAATCTTTTCATTCACGTGTGCTCCAGAACAGAGGAGTGTCCCTTGAATAACTGCAAGTAGGCATTTTCTGATGTTTTCAGTAAACCATACTGACCTTTGGAATAAGATCTTAAACATGTCAGGCTAAAGGTCGACAGCAGGGAGTTAAGATGAGATCTGCTGAACACTGATCTAGACGTTTGCTACTGTAAGACAGATGACTACTGTCATTATTTTGGCCACTAATGACCTTTATGTGAAAAAGTTCACAAGGTGGAGTTCCATCGCAGATAAGACACACTGCAAACTATGACATATCTGCCACAGATGTCTGCAGATAAAGCAAATGTGAGACCAAACACGACACAAATGGAGATTTTTGCTGATACTTTTGGTATAAAAACAAAAGATCAAAGACCATTTCCACTGTGTTTCTTTTTCTCTGCAGCATGTCCAAACAGGTCAAACAAGTGGCTTTAGTGAGTCAAGAAGTCAAACTTTGCCAAGGGCTACTGAAAATATCACTTTTGACCTAGTTGCTATTGGCATCAGCTTTACTGGACCGTGAAATTAGCTTCTGTGGGATTTAGAAAGAGGCATGCTACCTCAAGTGGCCTTACAAGCCCTAGTCATGTCAAGACAATACTTCTTTAAAGAATAGCCTGTTACCTTGTGATTCTATTTTCACATTTAAAAAGGAACCTCTGAAGTGAAAAATATAATTCTGCAACAAATTGAAGCCTGGAGACCAGAAGAGCAGCTTTCAACATCAGGCTAGAAAAAAACTAATAAACCTAATAGTGAATGAATCAATACAGGAGCTCCACAGTAAATGTTATTTTTTGTGAGGTTTTTAAGATTTAGTTTTAGATAACACTAACCAAAATTTAAAAAATAGATCACAGCAGGTAATATGTGTGAGGATCCTGCAAACTCAACTGAGCCTTGACACTTCTAATAATTAATAATAGCCAATAAACTATTTTACATTATCGATTGAATTATTCTAATAGATTTTTATATTCTTAGGGAAAAAAAACCCCAAAACAACAAAGTGATATATCGTGTAACATACACGTACACCTGTCTATATGTTCAAAGTCCACATTCGCAGTCTCGTGTCTTACCCACAGAGAAGGATGCAGATGTCCCTTCCCAACCAGGCTGTGCTCCCCTGACCTCCCCTCCGCCATTCAGCACCAACATAAAAGCTCGTCCAATCACAGGAATTGTCTCAAGGAACTTCACCACCATGTCCACCTGAGGAATCTGTAAACTCCATTCCCTATAATGTCCGCCTGGCTCTCGCAACTGATGCTACCCCCAAAAGCTGTCTGTGGATTTCAGGCTACATTTTGTTAGCTGTGACACGTTTAAGACGTAGTTAAAAAAGTTGGTACAGTCGATTATAACTGCTAAGTTACATCTGACTTTTCACTTGCGCAGTGGTCATCAGAGATGACGGCACTCTAGTCCACTATGTTCTGAGCTAGCAAACAAAATATAGCAATCTATGAGAGAGTCCTAGTATTTTCACTCACGCACTAATGCTTCCTATATCTCACACAATTTCGCAAGCACACAACATATATACACACCTCCCCGTCGCACTGAATTCATACTTCCCCACTTGTGCTGCACATGACAGCCAGACCAGCAGTTTCTAAAAGGCTTGGACAGGCTATTCATACACGCTTGGCATGAAAATGCACGCACACAAACTGATCGACCACACAGTTTCTGGCAATGACCACAGCTCTCTGGACCATCAGAGATGAGGGGACTCTCCAGCAGTCACGCTCTACCAACACTGGAAAATCCTTCATAATCCTGGCCGACTTGGGAGGAACTCAAGCAAATAAACTGCAAATTTGGATGGATATCACTGCCTGAGCAGCCTCTTGAGGAAAATACAACAAAAAGGTAGGCCTAAGTGGAAACAATGTCTAATAAAGAGGTGAGGTGTGAGCATCAATGTAGCCAATAAGCTTTGCTGTGTAGTAAAATAACAAAACAAACAACAAAAATCCACCCAGGCCTATCATGTGGCTCATCCAACAATGCAAATGTAAAATGGGTGTGTAGGTCATGGCCTATGGACGTGTCACGTAGATGTTACCACTGTCTTTCCCGTTTATTTATTTATTTTTTAATTCTGTGTGAATGTATTTAGAGTAACACTTCATTAAAACTGTATCAGCTGTACTGAGGAAGAAGAAAAGAACAAAATCCTGCAGTAAGGATGGTAGTAGACGGATCACAGAGAGGAAAAATGAAGGGTTAATAGTGACAGTGACACTGATCAAATATTTGATCTATAATTCATGCTGTTGGCAATTTATTTAGTAGGTTTCTATTCTTATCTCTTAAATAAATTTTCCCTGCTTCACCGCCTGTAACTTCTCCTCCTTGAGGAACTCAAACTTACAATTATGACACTAAAGCTGCAGCTGCTGATTATTTAAATTATTTTAATATTTCTTTTCAGTTATCCTTAACATTCTTTAGTCTGTGAAATATCCACAATATTATTCATATCAGTAAATGAACACTTGGACACAGTGAACTCTTAAATGTCAAAGGATATTCAACTAAAAATGATATGAAACAGAAAAAGGCAATAAATTATCACATTTGCAAAGATTAAAGTGTTGAGACACACAATTTGAATACACTTAAGATACACATATAAAATGTGCCAAATTAAAGAAAATGGTGACATAGAGTGTCTTAGTATGATAAGTGGTCACCATGTGCTGCCAGAACAGCTTCAGTGTGCCTTGGGATTGATTCTTTAAGTCTCTGAAACTTTGCGGGAGGAATTCTTTATTCTTCCTACAGACATTTTCACATGTGGAGTTTTATTGATGATGGTGAAGAGCACTGTCACACATGTCCCAAATTTACCTTAGTTGATCAGTTAGGTTGTGATCTCCTGACTGGAAATGCCACATGGTGATGATTCAAATCAAACTGGCAGTTAGAAACAATGCAATGTAAATCACAAAGGTTGCTATTTAGGTTATATGCTATGGAACACATCTGACACAGGATTTTAAGTGTTGTGTCAATGCTCTTACAAAATCATGTTGTCATCTTTGTGTTACATGCGGTAATACTCCATCACATTTTAAATCTATTACACAGTGAATACTAAACAAAAGCAGAACTAAAACATTAAATTGCAAATCAAATCACAATGTCTAACTGGGGGAAAAAAACAATCACAATTTGATATTTTCCACAAATCGTTCAGCTCCGTTTTCATTCATTCAGTGACCCCTTGGACCCATTGGAAGAGCTCACTCCCATCAGGACAGGATAAAGAGGATTACTCAACAACTTTGCAATAATTTGCAGCGATCCCTCCCTTTAAAGGAGACAACTGGGCCCAAAATACTTCAGCATATGTCCCCCACAGTGTAACAGAGCTACTGGATCCTCTCACTGTAGGGCTAGAGGATTCAGGATTTTCCTTTAATGTTTCACCCATGTGTGCGCACCACCTACTCAACAGTAGGAGCCAGAAAAAAGTGTGGCAAGAGAGTTTGTGGCTTTTAGTGACCCTTGCCTCTGCGGAGACTGAAGTTACCTCACTCTAGTCTAGTGCAATGAGAGTGAGCACATCTGTAAACGTTGCAACAACAACAAAAAAAAAAAAACAGGAAAAAATGTCCATTACGTCAGATTTTGTGATTGCATAATCCCTCTCACTGCCACTGACTCAGACAGCAGTGACAAAATCACTCCCCTGGGGTGCAGGAGAACTCATGTGGCAAAGGTCTTATTAAAAACCGAACAAACTACATTTTTCTTTGGGATTTGCCCCTTTCAGAAGTTAAACACGTTTTTGAAGACGAGTGTAACTGAGACACCCATTTAGAAAGGTACACCCCAAACTCAAACAACTTCCGCAACGGCTTAGTGTACACTGTTCAGTCCCTCCAACTGTCGACATTATGAAATACAAACAGAGAAACACGTTTGTTTTGTTGTAAAACCTACAAGTATTACACAAATAACCTGTTTTATAAACCAAAAGCTACAAATACAGGTTAGAACTTTATTAGGATTTACGTTAGTTGCCATGGAATTCAGGGTTCAATCATCTTTACGACTTATCTTGTAAAACGATGAAAGTTAGCGCAAGAACAAAAACCCCAAATTGACACAACTCGGCTTCCTTCGACTATCGAACATATTTTACGTTTGTTAAATAAGTTACATACAGTATATTTTGGTGTAAAGTAGTTGACAGAGAGAAGAGCTGCTTACCTTTCGGGTCGCTTTTCAGTTTGAGAACATATCCATCTTCCTAGTCTACAGCGCCTGCGCATGCATACGTCAAGCAAGCCATCAGCCAATGAGAAAGCTGGAAATTACAAAAGGACCCGCCTCCGACGTCAAATAGTAAACAAAGCGTTCAGTGATGCATACTGAATATTGTTCAGGGTTCTCATCTGTCAGTGCAAAAACAAATGAACAGACATTGAATATATTTTATTTAATTAATGAAATCTGTACATATTGCAATAATATCTTGTTGGTTCCTGGCAAACATTGGTTTTGTCTGTTGATTGGTGGGATCTGTAAATTCAGAGTCTCTTATAAATTATAACAAACCATTTCCAAAACCTTAGAAAATGTAGTAGTTTCTTGCATTCTGGTAAAATTTTGAGTTCCAATTTGTGCCATTTCTGAATTCATTTGTAGTCAGAACACCTTCACCAGGTGACACTTCCAAGTGTAATGGAATATAGAGCAGTAAGGTTTTCAGGCATTCTGTAGTAGTAAATAGGTACTTGCCTGTTGATCAAAATGTCTCACTTTATAGATTATCTGTTAGCTAGCTGTTATGCAAAAAAAAAAAATAAATAATAAAAATGCCCTTTGCTTCTTTAATGTTTTAATTGCAGGGAACAACTTTGTTCTCAGTATTAAGGGGGACGTATCCTCTGCATCACTTACGAAGTCTGTCCCTTAGACAGTTTATTATTTGGGCAGTTCCATACCACTGTGTACTGTATAGGTCCACCTGACAGTATATACAGACAGTTGGGTTTGACTCCTGTCTTCCTGTGGTCTAATTCAAATTAGATGTTGTTGAGGTAAATTCAGACTTCGATTAAGAGATTTTCAGAATCCACTAAGACAAGGCCCACAATTTTCCTTAGACGATTCTGAACAGAGGTTGATCCTGAGCATTTACATGGTAAAGAGTTTACACGAATGAATTTTTTTCTAATTTACTTCATGATGTTTCAGAGAATGATTTTTTCAATCTGATATTTGATGACTATGATAAACTGCAAAAACTGCTTGCTTAACAATCACCCTTTCCTTACAACTTTATTGTTATAATCTTTATTCATCAATAGATCAAGTTTCGATATTTCAGAAATGATAACTTGTGTGGCCCAGCAGAGGGCATCACTGCACTGCACTGCACAAAGCTACAATAAACAAACTATAGACTGTAAAATGTCCATATTTTCAAAATATGAAACTAAACCTAAAAGGTTTAGTTTCAGAAATATTCTCCTTTTAAATCTGCACTAAAATATGAACTTGCTCTAAAGTAAACAAAAACACATTATATGCTGTTTTAATGATAAGTATTATTTTGCTCTCTATTATTTCAATAGACATATATGAATAAAATGCAGTAATCAGCAATCTATAAATCAAATGTTAAATACTCACAAAGTTGGACAGTTGTATTGACATAGTCTTTTATTTAACGTTACAAACATATTGGATGCATTAAACTTCTGTAATGGACAAACCATAATAAAAGCTTTGCTTGTATTTGCAAGTATAGATATTGATCTCAAAGAATACAGTTTACTAATCTGAGGAGACGATCATGTTACATGTAAATTCTTTTTGTCCAAACAGTATTTAATTTAATACCTGACAGAAAAAAAAAATAACAACAAAATATTTCTCATAAGACTTAAAGCTTAGAATAAATATCTGCTATCAGTTTCAATATTTTCCATGGAATTATTGTCTTACAGGTTTTTTCCTCTGGGCTTCTTTAATAAAACATGGTGGGAAAAAAGTGAGCAACCACGAAGTAGATGTTGCCTCCATGACATAATTTAAGATGTTTCTTTTACATTCAGGCCCCAGTGATGGCCAGCCTTACTGCCTATTTAAGGAGACCCATAGCTTTACAACAGAAACTCTGCCTTCAAAACTGCTCTGCATCTGCTCACAGCTCTCTCCCCGATGTTTCCACACTCCACCATACAGAGCCTCGAAATGTTTAGGCCCTTTTCTCTAAATAAGGCAGCCTTATCGTAGTTCCTGTCATTTCTGTCTTTTCCCCAAACATCCCGAGCAGCGTCTGTGGCAGTAGCAAGCTGCAGCCCATGCATTCTTTTGCCTTGTATGGAGAAATGGCCTGGCCTGGGATGTCTTTGTATGGGACAGGCTGGTCTCTCCATTGGACGGTGCAAAAATGGGAGGGACAAACTAGCAGTCTGATTCTTCAGGCAAACTTTTCAGTAGGACTGGCTGCCTCCCTTCCCACTGCTGTGTCGGAACCAGACAAAAGGAGTTTGAAGTACTCCCAAATATTTCTACCTGAAGCCAAGGTGAGAATGAAAGCTGTTTTTAACACTGGATTGCACAGTTAGAGTGCACACTGCTTAAAGCTAAAGCTCTTATTTGATGTGTTTTAAGTGGATGGGAGGCGTTCATTCTCTGGGTTCAGTGGTACAATACTCAACTGTCAGTGCTGAGAGAGAAGGGAAGGATAGAGTTGCAGAGAGCTTCTGAAGTGGATCTTTGATTAAAGGTGTTAGATGAGCCAAAATAGAGTTGTTCATGTGTTGATTAAGCTAAAGAGAAACCTGTAGAGGATGTTCACCTTGGACCTGTATGTGTTTCAACAGTGTAAATCTACTGTGTGCGTGTGTGTTTACTTCTATCTCATCACTATGGCACATTAAACAGAGGAATTTCTGAATGCTGGTGACCCATTTAGACCTGTCTCGCTGACACACTTTTAAACGCACACAGACACACACATACATAGACATCTGATGCTGTCTTTTTATAGGCAATGAGAGCTTACATTCCTCTTCCTTCTGTTTGGTTTTGGAATACCTGACCGTTGGCCTCTCAGTCTTCACTTCGGTAGTACTGACCTACATGACCTGCAGTTGGAGTGAGGGATGACAGCCTGACTGTTTGGGGATATCAAAATGTGTGTGTGTGTGTTCTTGTTGGACAGAAGGACAGAGGAGCTTTTTCATTCCTTAGTGGATAAAAGGGTCCATAGAGGAGCTGCGGCAACCAGAGAACAAATGCAATTGTCAGTACAAGCCAAGCTGAGACGCGTCACCCGAATGCTTACGTTGCTGGGGTCAAAAATAGTTGTTCTCATCCTCTTTGTGAATCATTGTTGATTCACTCTGCACAGAATGTAGATTTTAGCATTTGCTACAGCATCAGACTCAGTGGGGACTGGAAATCAGGTTTTCTTTTCTTGCACCTTGATAACGTAAGTTCTGGAATAATCTCATATTTAAAGAATCTTTCAGAAGTCCGGACTGATCTAACTTTAAACAGACATGTTGAGCTTAACACCAGTTAACTGCTTTCATGACAGAGCCAAACAAGAATGCACAATAGAGATAACAAAATTCCAGTGTTCTCAAATTTGACTGTTTGCATTGGAGCCACTTCAGTTGGACAAATTCTCATACAGTCGCACAATTGTAAACTGCTGCTAGTGGCTGCATAAGGAAAATGTGCTGTATTGTAAGACGACTTTATCATGTAGGCGGGAGAGAGAAGCCCTAATCAGATTGAGGAATTCCTCTGTTCCTGAAACCTTAAAGTGGAACGAGACAGTTTTGTTTCCAGCTTCCTCAGTGACTGAGAGAGAGAGAATGAAAAGGCTTTAGGCCAACGGCACACACCTTCCAAATTTCTTCATTTTTCTGGCACATGAAGGGACCGAGGCAGCCAAACAGTAGCCAAATGAAAGGAAAGGGTGTGCCAAAATGTGTCTGTGGTGACTGAAAGAATGAGAGAAACTGTGTGTTTGCAAAAGGTACATGAATTTCCTTCCTGTACCTTTTATACTAAGAACCCAAACATGTCTTTGAGTAAATACTTCTGTTGACAATCAAACTATCCGTTAAGATTAGAATCTCTGACTAAACCTAGGCCAGCTACGTGGATTTGCATTAGCAATAAAAGTTAGAATTCTATCATAGCGATACAGCTGCATTCATTTGTATAGAACTCAACGGAGGAACAAACTTTATGTTCAGGAAAAAAAGAGATAAAGGACCATGAGGATAGACAAACCTGCCTTCACTAGCTCTCTGTGAGGCCTTTGTGAATCATACAGGCAGCAGCAGACACAGAAATTTAGGGCTGCTCCAGCCCATTAAATATGATGACAGACACAGTTACACAGACAGTGCCCTTTGAGAAAGAGATTTAGAAAATATGGGACAGCAAAGCGCTATTTATAAGT